GTGTGTGTGTGTGTGTGTGTGTGTGTGTGTGTGTGTGTGTGTGTGTGTGTGGATGCGTGAGAACTCACCATCTCCTCGTCGCTGGCAAACGGCTGGGGCTGTTCCTCTCCAGACATGATACTGCGTCCGCGAAGATTCCGAGATCTGGGGAAAGAGAAGGGGGAAAACGGACCTGACCAAAATTGTTGCGGTTACGAGGTCAGAGGGCTTGGAAATGTTATTTAGAATTAATACCTACAGAACGACAGTGACGCAGTCAGTTTGAAAATTGAGGTTCCGTGCGGGGATGTCCGTCCGCACCAAAACTATTTTCGCCCGTGCTGTAGCCCGTCCAACGAAAAGACACGCTTTTTTAAACGGATGACTTGGGACAGATGACATCGATTGTTATCGAGCTACCGTTCCCGGTCTTGTTCCATTTACATCAATATCCGTAAGAAAATAGTTCCGCCTGACTCATATCGAGCAATATTTTATTTTTGCCTCTCAGGAAAAGTGCCCTTCCACACCAATCTGTAATGTTGAAATGAGTATTGCTCGAAAAGACAAAACGGGGTTGTCACGCGTTTAGAGGGCACTCTTTGGGAGAATTAGGGGTCCCGGCCTTATTCCATAGAAATAACACTCGCAATCGGAAACACAAACGGAAGCCGATTAAAAAAGCTGGCTTGAGTTGCCAGGGTCACAATGCCACCCGATGAAGAAAAAAATTAGGATGAAAATATTCTAAATTCGAACGACAAAAAAATACCGAAGACAGCTTTTTTTACCCTACTTCCGTTTTTGTTTCCGACTACAAACTCTTAGTGTTATTTCTTTGGAGTTAAGCCGGGACCACTCCTCTCGAAGAATGCCGTTTAGAGAAACGAGGCTAAAAGTAAACGGGATCGAAAGTTATTCGCCAAAAAATCTAGGCCTATGTTTTTGCGCCGGACGAGCGCAGAAAATTTCCCAAACTGAAATGACGGTTCGAGGTCTCCACTTTTTAATTCAAGAATCACTCGCGTTTCTTACTCATGGAATACTGACTTCAAAGTGAACCATTAAAGAGATACATTTATAAATTACAATTTTATTGATCCCAGAGGGCAGTTTGGTTAACGGTGTCAAACACCGACATTTGCTTAACATTACTGTTGAGTCTAAACTCACTAGATCTGGACCCACTCACTTACTTAGCCATCCGAACCCCCATCTTTTAATTAGTTAAAACCGTTCGGCTCACCGTGCGACATTTCCAATCAACCACTAAACAACCCTAGATCTAGCTGTACAAAGCCAAGTCCTAGCATTAAGCATTGCCATTACTGGCCTTTGTAGAGCTAAATCTAAGTTTGTTTGAAGTTTGATAACTCATTTGTTAGTGAATGCCATTAGTCGGTAATAATATAATAATAGGATTCTCACTCGGTTGACTAAGCCTTTGGCTCACCGAGTGATATTTCCAATCAAACACTTTTCTAAACAGCCCTAGATCTAGCTCTACAAAGTGCCCAGCTCAGATAGATCTAGCATTGCTATTAGATCTTGATCTAGAATCTAGATCTAGATCTAGATCTAGTCATTACTTAGTGAAGCTTTTGTTTTATTAAATAGAAAGTGGCTATTCTCACCCGCCCGGAAGTTCTCGCAGGATCAACTCCTCCCCTCTTCTCTCTCTCTCCGTCTCTTTCTGAATACTGTCTATCGGTGTGGACGATCAAATTGACCAAAACAAAGTTAAAAAATGATGTTAAAACACAAAAGTAAATAAATTTGGTTGTCTACAAAGATGCTACGGCTATTTAACTTTTCGAATCGAGCCGAACTACGCGGGTCGCCATTTTGTTTTGCCCGGAAATTCTCGCGCTACTCCTCTCTCTCTTTCTCTCTCTCTCCACTGCCCACAGACAAAATTGTACGCTTTTAGTAGGCTACAATTGTAATGGAACGTTTGTTCACGGCACAGAATTCTACAATTTTTCTGTTATCACAGTGTAGAAATATGTGGTTTTGCCGGGTGAGAATAGCCACAAGACTCGCCTGCACTATTCTCACTCCGGGTGAGAATAGAGGTGGCCTATTAAATATGGAAGAGGCTAGCCGTACTTAATGACGGCTAGACTGGCAGAAGTACGGCTAGACTCGCAGTCTAGCCGTACTTATTCTTAATATGATGGCTAGACTGACCATTTAACAAAAAAATAGGCCTACTGAATTGTAAATATACATTTTTAGTGTGCAGTACCTACCTAAAGTATTTGCATTTGAGACGAAACCAGGTGCCTTAATGACAGTGTATGTATTTGTATTTTAAACCTCCTGTTTTCTAATGTTAATAGGGCCTAAGATAAGTACGGCTAGACTGGCAGTCTAGTCGTACTTAGCCAGGCTAGCCGTACTTAAGGACGGCTAGACTGTCAGGCTAGCCGTACTTAATATTGATGGCTGAATTGTAAAAGAAATTTTTAGTTTGCAATGCCTAAAGTATTTGTATTTCAGACAAAACAAAAAGGTGCCTTTCTGACTTGCATGCATTTGAACCTGAATAATTACTAGATCTAGATCTAGATCTAGATCTAATGAGACCTGTGTACTTAACAGGCTTGAGTCGATAGGGCCAAACCTAGATCTAAGTACGGCTAGCCACTTCGATTAAATATTAGTTATAAATTAGTATTAGAATCTTCTAGATCTAGATCTAGATCTAATGAGACCTGTGTACTTAACAGGCTTGAGTCGATAGGGCCAAACCTAGATCTAAGTACGGCTAGCCACTTCGATTAAATATTAGTTATAAATTAGTATTAGAATCTTCTAGATCTAGATCTAGTCTAGATCTAGTATTAGTATTAGTATTAGGTATTAAGGTTAGGCTCACCGTGTGCTATTCCCATTATACACAAAACCCTAGATTTAGCTCTACAAAGGCCAGTCCTACCCCTGTACACTGCATGCAGTGCCAGTGGTCATAAGTTAGAATCACTACAGTCTACAGACTACATCTATACTAAGTTAGGGACTAAGAGCTAAGAAGTACTAAGAAGGAGAAGCAAGCCTAGCTGTGAGTCTTGTTTGGTTCTACACGACTGATACAACATCTAGAATCTAGATCTAGATCTATACTAGCCTATGCAGTTCCAGTGGACATTAGTTAGTTATAATAAGTTAGGGACTAAGAAGAAGTAAGAAGGAGGGGCAAGCCTAGGCTAGGCCTAGGTCTGGATTCTAAGTCTAGATCTGGTCTCTCTCCCTTGGTTCTAGATCTACATGATACAACATCTAGAGTCTAAATCTACATCTAGATCTACACTAGCCTACACTGCACAGCTTTCAGCTACAATAAACCACCACAGCCATCTGATCATTACCTTAGGTTCTGAATTCAGATCAACAAGGCACAGACAACACGTTCGCAACTGTATGCAGTTTCGCTTTCGACAACGCGGCTTCCGCTTGGCAAATGTTTATGTTTTTCCTAATTTCTGAGCACAAACGAGGGGTGGTGTGCAATCTACCGAAGAAAGGCGATGGAAGCCGTGACTGAACGTAAAAGACCAAGCGAGTTAAATTATAAAATACAGAGAGAGAGAGAGAGAGAGAGAGAGAGAGAGAGAGAGAGAGAAAGAGAGAGATAGAAAGAGAGAGGGGGGGAAGAGAAAGAGAGAGAGCTAGAGAGAAATATATTGAGAGAGAGACAGAGAGAGAAAGATAGAGAGAGAAATAGAGAGTGAGAGAGCAATAGATAGAGAGAAATAGAGAGAGAGAGAGAGAGAGAGAGAGAGAGAGAGAGAGATGAGGGGGGGGGGGTAGGTGTATGGGGAGATAACAACTTTCAAACGATTGTCTTTCTCTTTCACGAAGGGTTTGTCCACTGAAATAAAATACGCATACAGTGCGTCTTTATCGAAGAGCGCAGACCTCCGGGACACAACGGGAAGAGCAGATTTGCACACCTCGTCTTTTTTTCTGTGCTTTTGTTCGTCTGTACTTCGGTCTGTAGTGTAATAATGGTTACGGCTGGCTTTTCTTCTTCTTCTTCTTCTTCGTCTTCTTCTTCTTCTTCTTCTTCGTCTTCTTCTTATTCTTCTCCTTCTCCTTCTCCTTCTCCTTCTCCTTCTCCTTCTCCTTCTCCTTCTTCTTCTTCTTTTTCTTCTTACTGCTTCCCCAACACCACTTTCTCTCATCTCTCATTTATAAACAGCTACTAGTATCGATTACTCAATGTACATTACTACTCAAACTTTTTTAGCTCCCCGTTAAAAATCTTTAGGCTTAGAACACAAATTCCCATATTTAGGATAACAAACATAAGTTTCAAGGAACAGAGCCCCGTACAGTGGTTTAAAATGTTTGCAGTGTGAGATATGACGTGCGATTCTTAAATAATCGGGTATCGATATTTGATAATTTCGATAATATACCATTAAACGGTATTTTCAACAAATTTCTTTCTTTCCGATTCATGCCGATTATCAGTGTGTTATAGAGGAAGGTTTTCTGGTTCTAATGACCTAGAGAGAGAGTGAGAGAGAGAGAGAGAGAGAGAGAGAGAGAGAGAGAGAGAGAGAGAGAAAAGAGAAGAGAAAGAGAGAGAGAGTGAGAAGAGAAGAGAGAGAGAAGAGAAGAGAAGAGAAGAGAGAGAGAAGAGAAGAGAAAAGAGAGAGAGAGAGAGAGAGAGAGAGAGAGAGAGAGAGAGAGAGAGAGAGAGAGAGAGAGAGAGAGAGAGAGAGAGATAAAGAGGGTGGGTTGGAGCAGAGAGAGGGGGGGAATAGGGGTTATGGGGTGACAACATCTTTGCCCCTTATTTTCAAAATATTTTTTTCTCTTTCACGAAAGGTTTGGCGATGATTTGTATTTTCCGCTAGACTGGAAAAATATACGCCCAAAGTGAGCTTTTTCTATGAGCGCAGACCTACGGGACACACCGGGAAGTGCTGCTGACTCTCTCTCCCTCTCTTTCTCTCTCTCCCCTCTCTCTTTTTCCTGAGTGTGTGCGTACATGCGTGCAAGCGTGTGTGCATGCGTGCGTGCGTGCGCGCATGCATGCATGTGCGTGTGTTTGTGTGCGTACAATATATGTATATGGCTGTCGCATTGGTCTTTTATCGATAATTTGTCTCACTTATATTATATGAATGTACGAATAAGAAAACAACTCAAGCCCGACTTTCGACTGGAAATGTTTTAATTAAATATACCTATTTCGGGTCGGACTGCCAAGCGCGCGCGAGTATATGTGAGTGTGTGTGTGTGTGTGTGTGTGTGTGTGTGTGTGTGTTGGTGCGTGCGTGTGTGCGGGTTTGAGGATGCGTGAGAACTCACCGTCTCCTCGTCGCTGGCAAACGGCTGGCGCTGCTCCTCTCCGCGAAGATTCCGAGATCGGGGGAAAGAGAAGGGGAAAAATGGACCTGACCAAAACTGTTACGGTTACCAGGTCAGAGGGCTTGGAAACGTTATTTAAAATTAATACCTACAGAACGACACTGACGCAGTCAGTTTAAACATGAGGGACGGAGCGGGGATGTCCGTCGACACCAAAACTATTTTTGCCCGTGCTGTAGCCTGTCCGATGAAAAGACACGATTTTCTTACGGATGACTTGAGACAGACGGCACTGATTGTTAATGTTATCGAGCTACCGTTCCCGGTCTTGTATCAGTTTGTCCCATTTACTTATCAATATCCGTAAGAAAATAGTTCCGCCCGACTCATATCGAGCAATATTCTGGCCTCTCTAAGAAAAGTGCCCTTCCACACCAATCTATAACGTTGAAAAAAGTTTTGCTCGAAAAAACAAAACGGGGTTGTCACTCGTTTAGAGGGCACTCTTCGGGAGAAGTAGTCCCGGCCTAATTCCGTAGAAATAACACTTGCAATCGGAAACAAAAAAGGAAGCCGATTAAAAAATTAATGTGGGAAATATTCTAAACTTGAAGTAAGGGAAAAAAATTACCGAAGACAGCTTTTTTACTCGACTTGTGTTTTTGTTTCTGACTACAAGTCTTAGTGTTATTTCTATGGTGTTAAGCCGGGACCACTTCCCTCGAAGAGTGCCGTTTAGAGAATCTAGGTTAAAAGTAAACGGGATCGAAAGTTATTCGACAAAAAATCTAGGCTTATGCTTTTGTGTCGGACGAGCTGCGAAAAATTTCCCAAACTGAAATGACGGTTCGAGATCTAGGCCTACTCACTTAGTTGATTAGTCACCCGAGCCCCCAACTTTTAATTAGTTAAAACCGTTCGGCTCACTGTGTGACATTTCCAATCAAACACTAAACAACCCTAGATCTAGCATTGAGCATTGCCATTATAGTCATTTGTTAGTGAATGTCATTTTAAGTCGGTAATGATAATAATAGTAATAGGAAGCTTACTTGGTTGACTAAGCGTTCGACTCACCGTGTGATATACAATCAAACGCTTTTCTAAACAACCCTAGATTTAGCTCTACAAAGTGCCCAGCTGAGATAGATCTAACATTGCCATTAGATCTAGAATCTAGTCATTAAGTAGTGAATGCCAATACTCGGTAATAGAGGAAGCTTAAATTTGTTTTACTAAATTAGTATTAGTATTAGTAATTAGGGTTAGGCTCACTGTGTGCTATTCCCATCAAACTTCAAACAAACTTAGATTTAGCTCTACAAAGGCCAGTACATTGCATGCAGTTCCAGTGGACATTAGTTAGTTATAATAAGTGAGGGACTACTAAGAAGGAGAGGCAAGCCTAGGCCTAGGTCTACATTCTAGATTCTAGATCTATATTTATATTTATAATAATTTATATCTAGATATATAGATCTAAGGAGGTCTAGATCTGGTCTCTCTCCCTCGGGAGACTCTGTGGGTCTTGTTTGGTTCTACACGATACATCATCTAGAGTCTAGATATAGATCTATACTAGTCTACACTGCAAAGCTTTCAGCTACAATAAACCACCACAGCCATCTGATCATTACCTTAGGTTCCGAATTCAGATCAACAAGGCACAGACAACACGTTCGCAACTGTATGCAGTTTCGCTTTCGAATCAGAGACAACGCGGCTTCCGCTTCCAAATGTTTATGTTTTTTCTATTTCTGAGCACAGACGAGGGGTGGTGTGCAATCAACCAGAGAGACAGAGAGATAGAGAGACAGAGAGACAGAGAGACAGAGGGAAGAAGAGAAAGAGAGAGTGAGAGACAGAGAGACAAAGAGGGAAGAAAAGAAAGAGAGAGAGAGGGTGAGAGAGAGAAAGAAAGAGACAGAGAGACATAGAGACAGAGAGAGATAGACAAAGAGAGAGAGGCAGAGAGAGAGGCAGAGAGAGAGGCAGAAAGAGAGCCGGAGAGAGAGACAGAGGGAAGAAGAGATAGAGCCGAGAGACAGAGAGACAAGGGGGAAGAAAAGAAAGTGAGAGGGGGGGGAGAGGGATAAAAAGAAACAAGGAAGAATGAGTGGGGCAATTGAAATTCCGACGAACT